CCCTTTCCGTTATTTTCCCCTTCTTTTATTTAAGCGTGAAGCTCTTTCGCTGGATCTAGGATAAACTCTGAGCAAGCTCTTTTATTGGCTTGGAATCAGAAGTGTCTGGAAGTCTTAATGAGAACCAAGTGTAAGGCAAGGCTCAGCCACCTGTCCCCGGCATCCCCGGCCAAGAGCTCTGCGCTTCGATTAATCAATGGATCCGCGATTTGGAACGCGTCTGTGCCCTGGAGCAATGCGTGGGGCGAGAGTGGAGCTGAGCTGGGAACCGGGTGCCCCGATGGGGATCGGTGCGAGGCAGATCCCACAGCTGTGCAGGCACTGCCAGCACGTCTGTGCTTCCACAGCTGCACGAGAGCCATTGCAGGAAGCAGAAGGAGCAGAGAAACCTCTGTGCTGCTGCTCTGCAGCCTCTCTCCCACCTCCCCGTTTCCCAGAGGCATTGCCTAGTTGCCCTATCCTTCAAGGGATGTTAGCATAAGTTCCTCTCTACGCTGCTTTTTCTTGCAGATGTGAGCTGCTGTGATTGCTTGGAAGCATGACTTCCTGAAGCCTGCCTGTTTCTGGCTCTCACTGTGAAATATGTTGTGGCTTTAAGCTGGGTTTTAATTAAGAAAATGCCATTCTGGGTTATTCTCTTTCATGAGGCAAATGGAGAAAGGGGTGGAAGGCTGACAGTTGGGATGGTGTGTTCCTGCACTTCAGTTGCATGTGGTTTCTTCTCTATAACAGCAGGCTTCAAGAAATTGCTGGGAATTAGAGTGGAATAAATGAAAAGGAAAAATAATCACTGTTAATTGTATCGAATACTTGGTGAGATTGAAGTATACAAGTCTTCTAAAAGCCAGGCCCACTGGTGACATCTGGTGCAGCCACTGGGAACCAGTGCAGAAGTGTGGGTTGGCAGATAGCAGCAGAGATGGGATGGGAACCTGTGCCATGTTGATGTTTCCTTTAATCAGGTACCACCTCTGGATCAAGCCCTTGCAGTCACTGGTGGTGGGGGTCCTCCCATAGGGCTGCATGGGGTCTTGCTCAGCACGGCATGGTTGCTCCGTAGGATGAAGATGCTCAGGTGGAGGTGGAGCAGGGTCTCTGTCAGTGTATGGTCCTGGCTGAGGGCTGCCCTGGCCCTTCTCGTCGTGGGCAACATGGCCTTTGTGATAGCTCAGGTAAGTGTCACCTTATTGGGGGGGTCTCTGGTGAATGTCCTGGGGTTGGGGAAGGGATGGGAGCCTCTGTGGTACCTGTGGGTGGTGGTGATGCTGCTTCTGGAGCGGCTCGTTGTCCGCAAGGTGTGGATTGCAACAGTGGGGGAGATGTGGGATCCTCCTGAAGTGACAAATCTGGTGGTCTTTGACCTGTACAAACCTGGACTCATGCACCCTGCTGTGGGTGTGCTGGGCCTCTGTGGGGTGGCTCTGCAGGCCTTTGCTTCAGCTCTCAGCTGCCACGGCTCATCAACTCTCTGGGTTTGTGGTGGAGCAAGAGCCAGAACTTGTGGGTTGTATGGGAGCTTGGTTTTGCCAACTGGGCTAAACAATGAACGTTTCCTTTCCTGAGGAATCCCAAATATTGCAGTTTCATTCCAATTTGTAATGAAAACACAATTGAGAAAGCAGAATTTCTTGCAAGAATGGGAATCCCAGACTTGACCTCAGATGGGAAAAAAATGCCCTGGGATGTCACAGCAGGGGCTGGATGGGCTCTGCAATGAGTGCTGAATGCTGCTTCTCTCCCAACCCCCCTGGTGCTTGCAGGACCTGCCTCAGACCTCCAACAGCCTGGAGGAGGGTGCAGATGTCACTGCATACTGGTGGGGTGAGTGGACCAAGTGGACGGCGTGCACGAGGAGCTGTGGTGGAGGTGTGAAGTCCCAGGAGAGGCACTGCCTGCGGCAGAGGTATGAGGGTGGGAAGAACCCAGTGTGCACACTGGGAGTGGGTCTGGTCCAGGTCATTGCTCAGTGAGTAGCAAGTAGAGAGGGGTCAGCTGGCAAACCCTATGTGAGCAGAAGGTGAGTGTGGGTAGAGCGTGGTGTTGTGAGGGGCTGCATCCTCCCCATTAGGAAAAGAATTCCCATTGAGATTGGGAAGGACCACTAAGATCCCCCATGCCCACTGGCTGGGTCCCTCAGTGCCTCATCTCCACAGTTCTGGAGCACCTTCAGGGATGGTGAGTCCACCCGTCCTTGGGCAGCTATGCCATTGCATCACTGCTCTTTCTGAGAAGCAGTTTTTCCTGGTATCCATCCTGAACCTCCCCTGGCACTGTGTGGGGCCATCCCCTCTTGCCCTGTCACTGTTACCTGGGAGCTGAGATGCACTGTGCTGGCCCCAAGGTTTCTCCTTCAGGTGTGGCTTTGCTACGTGGACACAGGTCTTGAAGAAGCAGGGAACAACGGCTCCTTCAGAGAAAAGTATTTCTGATCCCTTTTAACCATTATTTCTTTATTCAGACGAAAGTCAGTGAGTGGGCTGGCTAATAAAACTTGCACTGGAACATCCAAAAGATATCAGCTCTGCAAAGTACAAGTAAGGATATCCTTTTTTCTTGCTAGTGACATTTGGTGGAAAAATTGGGAAGTCACGCTTGCTTCACGTGATGGCATTCCTGAGTCCCTTGGAGTGGAGGTGTTGCTCATCCTGTAGCAGTCCCCACATTGCCCCTCTAGCAGCTGGAGTTCACTTTTCTGGCTGCTATCCCTGCTGTTGGGGGCCATAAAACCCAGTGGCGTCCTTGTGCCATCTGCCTTGTGGTTTCCCTCGCTGTCCCCACAGTGGGAGGAGGAGGATGTGGCTCTGGATGGGGCTGGTGATGGAAGAAGTGCTCCTTGCAGGGGGTGCTGTGTGCCAGGAGCCTCTCCCACATTTGATTTTCATCAGGATGTTAATGCATCCCATTCTAGGAGTGCCCTGCAAACGGAAGGAGCTTTCGAGAGGAGCAGTGTTCATCCTTTAACTCCCATGTGTATAATGGAAGAACGTATCAATGGAAACCTTTATACCCTGGTAACAAGACATTCTTTGTGTGTTTCATAATGCTTAGCCAAAATATTTTGATAGTTATGATGCTATGGAGTGCAGGAAGGCCCCTCCTCTGCTGTTTTAAAGTGATTTTTTTCAGGGACACAATCGGCTGCCTCCCAGGTTCAAAGGAGGGTTTTCCAGCTGCAGGGTTACCTAAAAAATAAAATAGCAAAACATATTTGTGGCAGTATCCTCCAGCTTGTTTTGGTCACAGCTCCCAAGGAAGGCAGGCTGGAGGATGAGGACATGGGGTGATGCTCTGTGCTGGCAGGGAGCATCCACCTCGTTCAGCATGTGGTGAGCTGGGGCTGCTGCTGGCTGCAGTGCATTCCTGTGACATTTGCTCACTCCCACACAATGTGTGGGCTCTGCCAAATGTCACTGAGATGGAATCAGTTCGGTCATGTAGGGTGAGTGACACAGAACGGCAGGGATAATTGAGGAATCAGGCTGGGATATATATGTACTGTAAGCGTATTTTTAGGCACCTAACTCCCACTGAAACCAAGCTTTAAGAAAATCCCAGCCAATTCCAGAGGATACTGGGATTCCCCTTGGGAACTTAGGTGTCTGAAAATAGAGGATTTAGCAGAATTTTCTTGCTTGGGTGTCTCCAGTTACCAACCAACAATTATGCTTCATGGTGTTCCTTGTTGCCTCCTTCCGAGTGACACCAGCCCCTGCCTGCATCCCCTTGGCAGGGCTGTGTGCTGGGACGTGGTTAGCTCTGCTCAGCCTTGTCACCTTGCCATAGGAGGGGGACAATTTCTGTGAACGTATTCACCCTTCAAGATGATGATTCACCAGAATAGTGACAGTGAACTGTTTTGTTTTTTAGCAGGCGCTCACGTGTCTCCTGGGGGATTGGCAGGATAATGTTTTGCCATTGATGCTGCCTTGGGCCAGTGGGTATCTCAATGCTCCCTCCTTGTGGAGTGCAACGCTTGGCACAGGGCTCTGCTGCATGCGTGGATTTGTCTCTTGCTTCCTGTGGGTATTATAAAGCATCTGCAGAAAGCAAGGGGCAAACTGAGCCCAACTTGGGAGAATGTCAGTGGGAGAGATCTTGAGGTATAACTGATGTGGTTTTGAATAGTCTTGTATGTCAATTTATAACAACTAATGTATGTATTAAATATTGATATATGAATGTGCATATGTGTAATGTATGTATAATGTGGCTGCATGCCCTTGCACAGCACAGTGCCTGTGGTACCTTTGCCAGCAGCAGGTGCATCTCTTTCCAGCACTGGAGCTGTGCAAAGGCTTGCAGCAGCAGGCTGCCAGGAGCACAATCTCCTGTCCAACCTGCAGGCACAAGAGGTTGTGGCTCCTGCAGCGCTGGCTGCTGTGCAATTTGTGTTGCTGTTGTTTAGCTTGGCAGAGATTCATTGACATTGGTAGGATGAAAGTTATTGTGTTTCTGCTGTTTTGAATGTGTCTCTATATCCTTTCCCCTTAGATGACTATGTTCACATTTCTAGCAAGCCCTGTGACCTCCATTGCACCACTGTGGATGGTCAGAGACAATTAATGGTTCAGGCTCGGGATGGAACATCCTGCAAATACACTGATTTCCGAGGGGTTTGCGTGTCTGGAAAATGTGAGGTTGTTAAACATTATAGCAAAAATATTGTTAGTAGCATTCAGAGTGGTACAAGGGGTGCAATATTTGCCTGACCCGCAGTACTCTGTGCCTTTTCTAGCCAATTGGCTGCGATGGCATTCTCTTTTCCACCCACACCTTGGATAAATGTGGAGTTTGCCAAGGAGATGGGAGCAGCTGCACTCATGTGACGGGGAGTTACAGGAAAGGAAACGCTCATCTGGGTAAGGCTCCAAGGGTCCCTTTGCTTTATTTGTGTTTTTTAGCTGCGTTTATTTCTTCAGTAAACTGCTTCAAGCTCCCGCTGAGTGTCCTCCATCACCTTTTTCCATGTGTCCTCTATGCTGATGCACTTGCAGATCTGGGCAGGGAAACCCTTCTGCAAAAACAGTCCCTTTCCATGACCCTTCTGAGGAATCTGAGCTCTCTGAATGGAGCAGCATAGTTATGCAAGAGGTTTGTTTGCTTACCCATGACCCGCTAAAGCTAGCAATAAATGCACTGTAATAACAGGAAGTGAGGATGTTTTGAAAGGCCAGGATTTCCAAAATTAGTGTAAAGCAACAGAACCTACTGGTCCCAAATACAGTGACCTAATTCAGGCATGAGTAGCGCTCTCTGGGGATCGGTTTGAGACAGAGTGAGCTGCAGTGCTGCTAGCAGGATTTGTCCCACTTGCTCACGAATCACAGCGTTGTCTGCTGAGCACTGTATTCAGATGACTCGTTACAAAGTTCTCCTTTCATTAATCTGTAGTTTCCCATAGGCTATTCCCTGGTAACGCACATTCCTGCTGGAGCAAGGGATATCCAGATAGTGGAACGGAAAAAATCTGCAGATGTTCTGGGTGTGTATAACCTCTTGGTACTTCCCTAGAATGCATGTGTGCTGGCTAATATTTTTTTTCAGTGTCTGTATGAATGTAGCTTTACTGCAGACTCGAGCCAGATCCATTGGTGTAAATCACAGCCGTGCATTTCTCCTCACTTCAGCCTGAGCACCTGGGCTGTGTATTTCTGCATTCTGATTGCTTTAATGCAGAATTGTTGGTTGCTATCATTGCTGCTGCAGTGCAGTTTGAATAGGCTGGTGCTAGATGACAATCAAGTGATCTCACCTCTCCTGTGATGCCCTTCTAGCTTGGCCATCTGACAGCAGCACCATGGGAATGGCTCATAGGCTGATCTCAGAGTTGGAGAAGGCAGAGCTGTTCTGTAGGGTTGTTTGAGAACCTGGGCTTGCCTAATGGAGGCATGTGTTTGCTGTCGTGCTCTGGTGTTGCCTCAGAGGCTCGTGGCCATGCACAAGAAGGTTTGAGCAAAAAGGCTTTATGAAGGACAGGTTCTGGATAGCTCTGGATGAGTCTTGGGACAGAGTTGGGTGAGATGTGGTGGCTCCTGGAGAGGCATCTTCACCTGTAGCCTCTGGCAGTCTGCTTGTTGTCTGCAGAGCTGTTCTTGTTTTGTGTTTATGCTGTGCTGGTGCTGTTAGCTGATGTGCCTGGGAGCTTGCAGTGTAGAGGAAAACATAGCCTAGGGTTCTGGGTGTTTACCTGCAGGATCCATGTTGGGAACACAACATCTGACAAATGCATTAAAGTGTAGGAGAAAACACGTCTCATTACTGTGACACTCCGATAACTTTATAGTCTGAGCAGACAAATGGCAACGTTACATCTCGCCTTTGGAACTGATTTTGTTTTGTTTTTCTTGTCTTAAGCTGTGGCTGATGAAGCTGGGTACTATTTCTTCAACGGGAATTACAAAGTTGACAGCCCAAAGAACTTCAACATTGCAGGCACGGTGTTCAAGTACCGCCGGCCCATGGATGTCTATGAGACTGGCATAGAGTATATTGTTGCACAAGGACCAACAAACCAAGGATTGAACATCATGGTGAGCTTTGTCTTTTCAAGTATGTGAGACTGGGGTGGTGGGGGAGAAGCTGTGTTGGGTGGAAGAAGGGGCAAACCATCTAAAACCAGACATTTGCTTCTGGGCAACCAACTAGTGCCCACCCTCCCTCCCCCTCTGCTGCCATCTTCCTTGTGTCCCTGGGCTTGCCTGTAAGGGAAGGGGTGGTTACCTAATCACCTGCTCCTCACTTCCCTGTATGCCTCAAAAAGGAGGTTTGTGCACATGAAGACAGCTCTCCCAAGCCTCAGCAGTTGCTCAGCTGCTGGGTGGGAGCTGCTTGTGAATTTGCATGTTTCATACTAACCCTTGGAAAACTCTGTTGGGCTTCAATTGTGTGAAGCTGGCAATGTGATGGAAAGCAGATTGGAAACAGTGAGGTAGATACTCACACCAACTGTCAAGTCCAAGATGAATCACAAACTTTGCATGCCATATATTCACTGCATCCGTTAATAATGTCACGTTTGCTAGGTCTGGAATCAAAATGGCAAAAATCCATCCATCACGTTTGAATACACTCTCTTGAGGAAACCACACTCAAATCTCCAGCCCATCTACTACACCTTTTCTGAGTCAGATAGCGAAGAAAGCAGGGAGTTTGATGGAGATGTGCCATTGGGTTTTATCCAACACAACGCAACCTATTTTGGGAAAATCTCCAGGGAAAGGATAGACTTGGAGAACCAGGTGTTTGGAAGACAGGACACGGAGGAAGATTTAAACTTGAGCAAAGGTCAGGAAACCAATGAGGTCTATGAAAGAGCAGAAACAATTGACTGTGAGCCAAAACTGAAGGGCAAACAACCCAAAGGTAAGGAGGAGACTTGGGCCTCACTGTTCTGCTTTCAGAGCTCTTGTGGAGAAACGCTGTGTTTCTAACTCTAGTGATCCTACTGGTTTGTTTGGAAACTTTGGAAAGTTCTTTAAAACATCTCTGCTCATAAATCCTCTTTGCCCTTCAGGTTCTGGTTTCTGGTGGGTGGGGGATGCCGTGGGTAAGCTCTCCCACTGATGCCCCTTGATGCTTTGCCTAATGCTGAAGGGAGGGAGCTGTAGGTGTGCCAATCTCCCCATCACAACCTCCTTTCTCACTTTTCCACAATGCCAACAAGCTCCTCTCCTCCCAAATCCCTTGGGCATTCCATTATCAAGCTGCCTTGGGGGCCTCCCCTGCATGGCTTGTGGGCTTGGGACTATTGGGCACCATTCTTACTTCTGCTATTGCTTGGGACCCTGCTGCTGTGTGCTGGGCTCTCCTCCTTGGGCCACACAACTGCAAGATGAGGCCCATAGGGAGCTGTGGACTCTTTCCAAGTGGGCACAACTCCAAGGGTTCCTACCCCAAGGCCCCTACTTCTTCCACTTGCCCCTGACATGGCTGCTCAGGCTCTGGTGTATCCCTGCTGCTCGGGGCTGCTTTCACCTCCCTGCCCAAATGCATTTTGTGGTCGTCACTGTTGTTTCCCCTGTTGGCTCCAATCTAGATTCAAACGTAACCAGGTCTACTTACCAGACAGACCATGACGACAGAGACTTTGACCCCAGGTTCACCTCCAGGGAATTCCTTTCGGAGAATGCCATCACAGACAAACTGCTGGACAAGGCCTCTGACTCAAAGGAGTTGGTACTCAACATGACCATGAACAGCATCTTTGCCCAGGGAGACCCAATCAACTCTGTGGGGTCCCACATTGACAGCCTCTACGTTGACTACGAGGACACTGATGGCATTGTGACCTATACCATCAATGGCACGTACATGGAGCTCAGCAATGGCAAAGCCATCAATTCATCTGCAGAGACACCGTTTTCAAATGCCACTGTCACCATGACCAGCTCTCAAGGGAACAGAACCCACAAAGCAAGGTAGGAGACGTATCTTTGTAGTCTATCCTATTTATTGTTGTTCTCGACTTGTAATAGCGCTGTATGCAATGCAGACCCATTGCATAATTTGTATTTTCTTCGGAAGCCAGAAGGTAAGTGGGAGTAGGATGTCACAAAAGCTTCCCATTAGGGACTGACTTGAAAGGAAGGGCCAAGGGTTTGAATAGAAAGCTGAGAGAACCTCTGAGCAAGAGGAAAATTTGCTCTCCTCAGTGGGGCTGTTGGTGAGGCCACAGTGATGGCTGTCAGCTTGCCCACTGCTCTGTTGTAGTACATCATCAGAGTATATAAAAGCAAACAAAACTTTTGTCTTGATGTCTCTGATTTCTCTGGGCACCTTCCTCCTAATTCTGATGCAGCAGAAGTTGAACCTGGGCCCTTTCTATGCGCCCCATTGACTGCCACCCATGGTCCTCCTCCCCTGGGCTGATCCTGCTGCTTCTCTGCTGCTGGAGAGGCACAGCAGAACAAGAGCTTTTGTGCAGGGCCTACAGAAATAGCCTGGGTTTGTTGCCTTAATGGAGGAAGAAACAGTGCAATTAATCACTGCTCTGATAAGAACATCAAAAGCACTCAGTTGGCAGCTTAAAGTGGTTGATAATAGAACTGGCGCTTCAGGATTCCTTTGTCTGGCATTGAGTGGTAGCATTACAAAAGTGCAATGGGGAAGCTTAAAGAAGTGTAATCTGTCTCTAGCAGCATAATTCATTTGGACAAGGCTGTGTGAAAGTCTAAGGACAGTATTTCCTCAGCATGGACATGAGGACACCTTGAGGTGCCCCAGGGCTCTCAGCAGCATGTTCCCAGCACAAGGCAGAGCAGCAATTAGCACTCCTTGCATGAAGCCACGGATGAGAGCATTCACTAGAGAGCTTGGGCTGAAACAAAGCCCTGGGGGCTATCCAGGTCTCACAGGCACAGCCATGGGTTTGGGTCCCTCCTGTCTTGGTTGAGCGCACAGCTCCTTTCTGTGCTACTTCAGCTCTGTTGCCCAATTCCCACTGCTAAAATATGGGTTGGGATGCTGAACTTCAGGAGATGAAAAGCACTGCGCAAATGCTCTCTGGTTATAGTTAGCTGTATTTATCTAGAACTTATGTTAGCTTATGCTAAAGAAAATGTCCATGCAGCCAAACATATCAACAGACTTCTTAATGATAAGAGCACTTACACATTGCCACGGGCTTGTCTATCATCTCTTCTTGTGGCTTGGCTTGGAAACCCTGCCTCTGCTGCCAAAGCAAGCACTTTGTTAGCACTCTGACAAGCAAGGGCAGCGCCTCAGCTCCCTGCAGTGCTGCTCTCCGGGGCCAGCAGGAGCCTGCCCTGCTCCCTGCACCCTCCCTGGGTGGCTTTGGGCAGCACCCTGTAACCTACGCCTCTGTTCCAGGAGCTGTTAAATGTGGCTGATGCTTTCCAGCCTCCCCAGGAGGAACTGCGGGTGCTTTGAGGCTCAGAGCAACGTGGCTGTTGCAGGATAGCCCCCAATAGACTGTCAGTGCCTTGAGTGCCCATACCTGTGCTGAACAAAGCAAACCAACAACTTTCTCCCCATTATCCTCAACCATCTCTATCAAAGGTGCAGAGGCACAGCTCAGGGATTTAAGGCCATTCAGTGGAAGTACCGAGCATTGTGCTTCTTCTTCCCATTCCTCCCTTGGCTCTGCTCTGCAGCGTTACCTCTTCCCACTGCTCTCTGGAATGAAACAAATTTTTCAGATCTAAATGATAACAGCTGAAAAAGCTGTTAGATTTCTGAATTTGGGAGCATCATCCAAAAAAAAAAAAAAAAAAAAAAAAAAAAAAAAAATGCTTTATTTCACAGGGCCTCACCCTCCAGCCATCCAGAAAGATCCTTAGCAACTTGTGCTGCCCTGTGGAGTGCGTGTGTGGGAACAAAATGTGAAAGTAGAGTGGGGGGTCTTGCTCTCCATCCCCCCAGCCATGGGCAGGGTGCTGGAGCAAGGTGTGCAAGGAGTAGCACCAGGGCCAGACCTGTTCCTCCAGCAGGGGCTTGTTGTGCTCCAGGAGCCATCCTCCAGGAGTTATCTCCTCTTCAGCTGCGCTTATTAGGATTTCTCCTCCTGCTACAGGCTGGCTATGGGAGGACAGGCAGCCAGAGCCCCAGCTGCTGCCAAAAGGGGTGTTTGTTTCTGCTGCCCCATAAAAGAGTTTCACTAGAAAGCAGCAGCAAGGGCTGACCTGCACCTGGCACTAATGGCCTGGTGCTAGTCTTGCATGAAAAGCAGAAGTAAAGTCACAATGCTTTTAATAAATAGGAAAAACCCAGCCATGTTGTTTATAGGATGATGTGCTGCCATTGGCATTTAGAGAGCAAAAACATGTTTTGTCTTTCTGGAAATGATGAGAGCTGAGCGCTGACCTGTGACCAAATGTCTGGCTCCAGAAAGAACTTATCCCTATGACCTCATTACATGTAGAAGCCCTTTAGGATCAACCGAAAGGGGCAGTGCTGATGGTCTTTCTGCCCTGAGATGCTTATTTTATTTTTCCCCTTGTGAAGCTGGGCAGGGATGCTTTAATCCCAGGGCAACACGATGCTGGCATTGGTGCCTTAGAGCAGTGGTGTGAGGTCCCAGCCCCTTTTCCAGGCAAACTGCAACATAAAACCCAGATGTCTGTTCCTATGGCTCTTCTGAACGCTGTTCTGCTGGCTGTGTCAGGGCTGGCGATGGCAGAGCTGCTTGACAAGATGAAGCTCTTTGTATAGCAAGTCAAGCCAGTTATTTTGTGGGGAGGAGGGGGGGGTGAAAATAGCCACGTTTGTTTCAGTTCCCTTTTGTATGCAGGAAATGACTGTTGTGCCAAAATGAGAGGCAAAATGACCAGAGGGAAGGAGAACTGTGTGCAATCCTCCTGGAGGATGGCTGGAAGGAGGGTGGGTCTGGAAGGGAACTTTTGGATTCTCAGTGTCAGAGTGGATTGGATAGGCTGGACATGAACTTATGAACAACTAAATAAGGCAATCCCAGAGCTTCTGCTGCCTAGAAATCATAAAGCTGCGTATCTTGCCAGGCCAGAGACAGCTGGATGTCAGGATACAGCCTTGTCCCCTGTTCCAATCAGCGTAGGCACCTCCAGGGTCTGGACAAAGGTCTGAGGACCGAAGCCTTCTGTTGGGAAGGTGCCGTATCCCTGACGTGTTACAACATTCCGGGATGTACGACGCACTGAGAAGCCGTTGTTCTTGGTTTGACGCTGCTTTTTCACACACCAGGCTGAATCTGTTCTCCTTTCCCCCCCAATGGCGTTACGCGTTTGACCGTAGCGTGAACGTGAGCGATGCGAATCGCGCATCCAAACCAAAACAACCCAGCGAGAGTGGCCGAGGCAGCAGGTAGGCGAGCGGCATGCCTTCGTGTCCCAAAGCAAAGCGTCAGGCTGCTGAGACCCCGAGGCAGGAGCTGGGAGCAGCCCGAGCCCAGCAGCGCCGGGAGGAGATGCTGCGCCTTTAGCCGCTGTACGCCGAGGGCCAGGTGTATTTGAGCAGAAAATGCAAACTTTTGTGAAATTCTGAACTGTTTCTACTTGTGGGTATTTTTATCCCATTCTCTCTATTTCTAGACAGTGGAAGCTCTGCCTCTAACCGGGCTGGGGATTCTACTTGGGGCTCAGGACAGGTATGTTGTGAAACGAAATGAAACAATTCAAACCAACAAACCCCAAAAATCAGAGCAACCAAACCCAACCGACAAACAAAGCCAATCCCCTCCCAAACCCAACCTGCTCGCAGATGTGTCTCTCTGACGTGGCATATCACGGCTCTCCTTGTAAACACTATTTTATTTTATTCTTTTTTGTGCTTGTTGCTAGAAACAGATTGAAGTTGTTAAGAAAGGGCCAAGGTGTGAGTGCTGCTGACATGTACAGGTGGAAGCTTTCCTCCCATGAACCCTGCAGCTCTACATGCACCACAGGTAGTTACGAGAACAGCCCCAGCCGTGTGAGTCGCGCTGTGTCTGGTAGGGATGGGAAGGACCTGGTGATGCACAGGGGATTTCTCCATCTTTCAGTCCCACATAGCATTTACCAGCCCTGCAGGGTCCTGGTGCTTGTGCTGAGTTTCGGCTCCTTCAACCTGAGCAGCTGCAACAGATTGAAATCCATTCTGCTTTCCCTTCCCCTCTTGAGTGCTCAGAAGGTTTTGAAAAGCTTAGCTTCTTTCTGACAGAGCAGAATTAGGAAGATTCTGCTCTGGCAGGAAACTAAGTGGCATTTGGCTTTTTTCATTTGGTTTCCCACTCCTGCTGCTGCCGTGCCTGATGTCAGCTGTGACACTGAGCCTGGAACAGTGACATGCCTGCCCCAACCTGGCCCTGCTCCTTAAATTCCCCCTTTTTGTCTCCAGAGCACTGCTTTCCCTCCTCTTTGGCCCCCAGGTGAAGAGAAGGACCCTGCTCTGTCCCACAGTGCCACACTGCTCACCAGTGTCGTCTCAGGAATAATCCTGACATTATGGGGCTTCTGGCATTAGAAGGAAGGGGAGAAGAGGAGACTGCAATCCCAGGGATGCCCAGTTTTCAGCTAGCAGGGGAAGGTTTCACTTAAAATTTGCTTTTCTTGTTCCCTTTTCCTAATTACATATTGCAGAGGAGCCATGCAATGTCAGGAGCTGTAGATGTCTGTCTTCAGTTTCGTGCAAATCATGTTTCTGGGAGCTGCATCTGCAGTTACCTGCAGCCAGAGCAGCCTGTTGGTTCCCGAAAGCCACAGAAAGACTAGGATAACATTCTGTCCCCCAGGCTAGGCTACAGTCAGTCTCTCTTTGTGCCAGCACTGGAGGTGACATGAAAGTGGTTGGGATGACTTGGGGGCTGTTTCCATCTCACGTACATCCACCAGCCTGGAAGTGGGAAGCACCCAGCAGACCCTGAGCATTTTCTATGTGAACACAATGGTTGTTTGTTGTTACTGGTGCTGAGCACGATGGCTGGACCTACTTCCAGCCTCGGTCCTTGCTTAGGTTGGCTCTGGTGGCCACCGTGGTCCTCTTGCTGGTCAGCATCCTCCGCATGGGCAGAAGGGCTGGCTTGCTGCTTTCCTTCAGGAGGAAGCTTTGGAAAATGTAGCTGAAAACATAGAAGTTTTTTTGTATGTGTATTCTCTTTGAAACTAGGAGTGATGTCCACGTATGCTATGTGCGTTCGCTATGATGGGATCGAAGTAGACGATACGTACTGTGATGCCATGACCCGCCCTGAGCCTGTCCATGAGTTCTGTGCTGGGAGAGAGTGCCAGCCAAGGTATGGGACCCATCCCTGTGCCCTCTTCAGCATCCTAAACATGACTGAGGTTTGCTTGTGCTCAGAGTGAAGTGTGAGATGTTGGCAGGGATGGAATGTATGCTGGAATCCTTTCTGATGCAGCATTTTGTCCAAAAGATGATTTGGATTGCAGTCTTGAGTGGAAATGTGTGACCTGTGCACACCCCAGTACAGCAGAGGTGTGCTTGTTGTAGAGAGCAGCAGTGGTTGGTGTCTGTTGAAGGGGAAGGCTGTGACAGTGTCAGACCATGAGCAGTGCAAAGAGAGAAGTAGAGCAGCTGGTGCATGCTCTGCGATAACTTCATCCACAGTGCAAAGCAAGACTGGGGTGATACCAGGGGCTGGGTATAGCCCTGTGAAAATGCAGAGTGCTTGTTTTCCAGCTTGGTTGATGGCAGAGTGTGGCTAGCTGGTGCTGGGGAGGGAAGAGGGCATGTATGTACCTTTTGGGGTGTAAGATCTCACTGAGCTCCGCACATTAAGGCTGAAAACCAGATCAGGTGGCAGTGCAGGCAAGAAGAGCACAGGAAAGGGGGATGGTGCTGCTCCCTTATCCTGGACACACTATGGGGATTTCACTCTTCATTTGCAGTAACCCAATTATTTCCTAGCATGGAGATGAGCAGTAGGGCTGGTCCCATTCCACGAAGCCTGAGCAGTGAGAGGAGCTGCTCTGTGCCTGCAGCAGGATGGGGGGAACGAAGGAGGCCCTTCCAAGTGTGCTGCGCTGAGCCCCTCCTGGAGGCTGATTGTAGCACCCTGAGGGCTGCCTGCATCCCTCCAGCTTCCTGCTGACTGCATCCTTTCTCTGGCTCTCCCACAGGTGGGAGACAAGCAGCTGGAGTGAGTGCTCCCGTACCTGCGGTGAGGGCTACCAGTTCCGCATCGTGCGCTGCTGGAAGATGATCTCTCCAGGCTTTGACAGCTCTGTCTACAGCGACCTCTGTGAGTCAGCTGACATCACCCGGCCCGACGAGCGCAAAGTCTGCAAGAACCCGGCCTGTGGGCCACAATGGGAGATGTCTGAGTGGTCAGAGGTAAGCTCTAGGGCTTTGGAATGACCCGTGGCCATTGGAGGGGAACCTCCTAGGACCTTGGTAGTGATGGTTGTCTTTGGACCAATGCACACCGGTTAATAACATATATATATATATTCCTTATAATGGGAAAGTTCATCCAGGATGGGGCAGCCACCACTACAAATCACTTTATTTTATTAATCCGGCATGCATGTTGCTGGTGTTGCCCCTGAGACTGGTGTGCATTGCCCCTTTGGTGCACAGGGAAGTAGGAATGGGGTTGGCATGGAAACAGAGTTGCCATCAGCACCTTTTGCTCACCTCCCATTGCACCGCACTACAAGAAGAATGAAACTCGTGCAGAATGAATGAAACCCTTTCCTCTCAGAGCCTTCCAAAGCCATTCTTGGTCATCACTCCCCATCTCCTTCCCTCTTTAGGCTGGGTGAGCCATTTCCATCATGCTGCTGGTGGAGGGTTGCTCCTTTCTGCTGTTGCAGGATGTTTTGACTTTCTCAATCCAGTAGAGCAAGGCTCCCTGCACGCGTGTTCTTGCAATATTTTGACTGGCAGAGAGAACCAGAGCTGCTTATTTTACCAGAACCCCTCTACACCTTCAGCATGTGTCGGGGACAGATTGCTTGAGACAACCCTGGAGCCACTCACTCTGAGCCAGCAGCAGAACTAATCTAATTTGGATCGCATCTGAAGCTGGGTGCCAAGTTGGCTTGGGAAGTAAGCCCCCAAAAAAGCACGTTTTGGAGATCTGAGGATTAACATATCAGCACAGTGCGTCTGAGTGCTGTTGACACTCTTCCCTGCTTTACAGCATGCACAGAGCAAACGTGTGCATGGGGGACTGCAGTAACTCAACCCCGGTTCTAAATAATGTCACTGGGCTGCACGGTGCCAAATTTATCCGCAGGATAAAAAAAAAGAAAATCTCAGCTCTGTGGTTTCATCATGCATCTGTAGAGAGTTCCAGGCTAAAAATGCAAAACCCTCAGAAGCATCTCCCAGCTCCCATCCCCCCGTACCCATCCTGTGTGTCCCCTCTGTCCCCAACAGTGCTCTGCGCGGTGCGGTGAGCGCAGCGTGGTGACGCGGGACATCCGCTGCTCGGAGGAGGAGAAGCTGTGTGACGCCAGCGCCCGACCCCTGGCTGAGAAGAACTGCACAGGGCCACCCTGCGACCGCCAGTGGACCGTGTCTGATTGGGGACCGGTGAGCCTGGGAAGGGATGGCTGACGCACCTGGGTCTTGTTGTGGCTTTGGGCGTGTGGCAGCGCTGCGGTTTGGTGGGCCTGGGGTCTTGAGCTTGGCAGTACTGATGCTCAGAACCCAGAAGATGACCCTTTTTCCCTTTTCACCCCATTTTCCCTTCCTGCATACTTCTGCTACAGAGACCCTTTCTGTCCCAAGCTATTTTTACCCAGCTTTTATCCTATGGCTAAAAATAAGCAGTTTCCATGGCAGCAGCGGTGCTGTGAAGCTCCGCACATCTCGGCTGGAGTGGCTGCTGCTCCCCCCAAGTTGTAGGGCGGCAAAGGGGGGACATCCAGAGCCCCTCACTCAGACTCTTTGAAACTGCCCCATGTTTCCCTGTTTGTGGCACTTTCCTTTCTGCCTGTGCTAAGTTTTGCTGCGATGGGGATGCTGTGGCTCCCAATGAGAGGAAACAAAGCGGGCATTTGCTTTCTTACTGCAACCCCGAGCGTCCCTGGATGAGGTGGGTGGGGAGAATGCAGGCATGTTGCTCCCTATCTGTGGAGCTGGGACTGCACTGTGACCGCCTGCTGTGCCCACTGTGGTTTCAGTGCAGTGGTGGCTGCGGACAGGGCAGGATGATCCGACACGTGTACTGCAAAACCAGCGATGGGCGCGTGGTGCCAGAGTCGCAGTGCAACCTGGAGACAAAACCTCTGGCCATCCACCCCTGCGGGGACAAGAACTGCCCGTCACACTGGTTGGCACAGGACTGGGAGCGGGTAAGGACTGGGGACGGGGCGATGCGTGGCGGTGGCAATGGAGGATGCTTATGGTGGGGAACCCTGCAGTGCAACACCACGTGCGGCCGGGGTGTGAAGAAGAGGATTGTGCTCTGCCTGGAGATTGTCAATGGCAAGATCAAGACTCACAACCCCACTGACTGCGACGTGGCCAAGAAGCCTGTGGAGGAGACGACGTGCTTCGAGCGGCCCTGCTTCAAGTGGTACACCACCCCGTGGTCAGAGGTAGGTGGGGGTACAGGGGGTTGCTCTGGGAAGATGCTTTCTTTGAGCACGTGGCCTTGTACCAAAGGCTGCACACCTGCAAAATACCCCATGGAGCTGGCTGAAGCTTTGCAAGGGAGCACAGAGAGGGGCCCCTTTGTTTTGCTATAGCAGCTCTGACAAAATGCAGACAGGACTTGCTTCATTGTACAGATCAGGAATAAGAGCTGTTTGGGGTTAGCTTTGGCTTTTTCTTTCCCTCTTTTTCTTTTTTTTCCTCCTTTTTCACCACCTTTTTCCAGCAGCACATGGATGTTGCCCTGCAGGTAGGTGGGGAGCAGAGCTGGGGCTCTGGAAGCTGGAGAGTGATGCTGGGGGCAGGCTGGGCTGACATGGGATGCCCCTGTTCTGCAAGGAGCTGCAGAGCTGATCCCAGCTCCCCACAAGAGCTCCCCAATGCAGCCCCTTTTGTCCGCCTGGAGCTCATTTTGTTTAGTCTTGAAAACTGTCGTGGCAGCCTATAATTAGCCCAAGAAACCCTGCAGTAATCCCCACATGAAGAGGCGGCCAAAGGGCAGCAGGCAGCGAGCACAGCCCGGGAGCTGCTCTGCAAAGCCCCCTAGACACATTGCACAGACACCAAACTTATCAGTGCCCGCACCCTATAAGCTATAGGGTCACAGCCCCCCAGTGGCAATAAGCAGTGTCTGAGCCACGCGGCTCTTTGCAGAGAGCAGCAGGAAGAGGGAGGAGTGCAGCCCCGAGGGTGGGAGCACATCCATGGATAGCAGTCAGGCTGCTGCAGACGTCTGCTGCTGCTGGCAGCAGTGAGGCAGAAAGAGGCCAGCAGTGTGGTGTGTGGACACAGTGCTCAGCGAGGGGCAGTGCTCACCCATGCCCCCAGCTGCTCCAGTGTGTTTTTTGTTGTTGTTTTTTCTTGCACAGCCCCCTGTGCTGGGGGGTTCTCACCTCACCCCACTCTCTGTTCCTTAGTGCACTAAAACCTGTGGCATCGGTGTGAGGATGCGGGATGTCAAGTGCTACCAGGGGAAGGACATCGTCCGTGGCTGCGACCCCCTGGTGAAGCCAGTGGGCAAGCAGACCTGTGACCTGCAGCCCTGCCCCACCGAACCCCCAGGTGAGCCCCCTCTTCAGCAGCACACCTTTAGCTTTCATTTTCCACTGCTATCTTGATGGTCATCTCAGGATCTGCCCTTTCTATGCCGCAGTAATGGCACTGTGTGCTGTACCACTGTGTGTCTCTATACATGACCATTATATAAAGGGGAGAGCTCACAAGCAACGTGCTCTGACCTTAAGAAAAAAGGGAGCAGCAGGGAGCTCGGGTGGTGCTTCTGTGTGATTCCAGCTCATGTCTAAGAAGTTTTTCGTCTGTGCCATTATTTTAATGATTTTTGGTCTCTGAATGTCCTGTGGGATTTGTAACTATCTCATTATCTGACTCGTCTGCTGGCTCAAAGCCCCTGTGATCTTTAGCAAACACACGGTTCTAATTCTTTAATAGGATTTGAGAAAAAGGCTGAGGTGGGAGAAGAGCAGGAAGACAGCAGGCAGGCCTGGGGCAGCTCCTGGCTCAGCGGGTGCCTTTGCTGACAGTTCTGCCTTGCCTTTGGGTCAGGGATGTGGTGTGGGAATTTGGGGTCCTCCCGTGGTCCCCCCCCTCCCCCAGAGCACGCAGTATTCCTATGGATATGATGCAAAAATTGTAACTTGTATACAGACTTAAAGCAAAACACTGCTCTGGAGGGGGCTGGATGTGTGTTATTGTGGTTTTTGCTCTCTTCCTTCTCTCCAGCAGCTCATCTGCCCCAAATACCTCAAGTAGGATTTTTGGGCAGGAGTTGTGTGCTTAGGACATCCTCTGTGCTCCCATGCCAGCCCTTCTGCTTAGGGACAGCTCAGTCCAGTATCCCTCTGTGGCTCTGGTGTTCTCTGGGCAAACCTGTTCCATAGGGAAGAGCCTGAGCTGCAGAGTGGGACCGAGCGAGGATCCCTGGGTCAGGCCATGTGTGATGGAATGTGAACCTTGGCTTGGCTGGATGATGATATTCCTGGAGAAAGCACATGGCTTTTCCAGGGGATGCTCTGCCTGGTAACAGGGACATGGTGGCAGATGGGGTGATGTTTTGCACAGCCACACATCGGGCTGTGTGTGGTGCCAAAGGGAATAGTATGAACTTGCATTGTTGGCGTTGTGTTTTATTCTTTCCATACCCATTTCTTCTTCTCTCCCTTACAGACGACAGCTGCCAGGACCAGGCAGGAACCAACTGCGCTTTGGCCATCAAAGTGAACCTGTGCAGCCACTGGTACTACAGCAAAGCCTGCTGCCGCTCCTGCCGCACCCCCCACTCGTAGTGCAGGGCTGGGGCCGCAGCCCTGCTGGTGAGCATTGGGGATGGATGTTCCTTTCCTCGCTCCGCTGGCACGGCTTGCTTTCAGAGCTGCTGTACATTGGTTATCAGAGCTGTACATACGATCGTGTATATTTGATTTCCCCCAACAGCAGACATTCACGTGGTTTCACAAGGTCTCGTCCTTTGGTTTCTTTTTGCCTATGCAAGTAGGGGGTGGGCACGGACCCATGGGAGTGAAAGTACCGGTGTGTTCCCTAGCAGAGGGGGTGAGTGCCTCCTCCCTGCTTTCTCCTCAATGCTTTCTTACATTTAACACAGTGGGAAGCAGATTTTCATTTGCTAAATGAACTCAAGCCCAAGCCCTCTTCTGTAATATGGAGGTGTATACTTTTTCAGAGGATTTTATCTTGTAACCAAATGTTAGTGCCATAGTCCTTACAACCTCCCCCCCCCCAAATGCTGACATATTGTATATAATATGGAAACATTACTGCACTTTATATCACAAAAAAAGACGTGCTCTTTTTTAATATATTTGTTTACAGACAGTGAACTTTATCCACGTAATCATTAATTTGTACCCATGTATATTTTAATAAAGTTGTCATATTTATGGTGGTATCTGGCTTTATTCTCTAGTGTGTAGTGGAGGGTTGTTGCTGTGTGCTGGGTCTATTCCTGAGGGAGTGCAGCAGCTCCTAGCACTGGATGTAAGAAAAAGTCCCTGAGTTGGGTCCTTCCTGGCCTATTGCTGTGGGATTTGGGGTGATGTGTAGAGATGTAGGGACTGCGAGCTTCTAAAGGAGCCTGACTGCAAAGAGGTTTGATGGGGAAATGAGTGAAAAAAGGAGATGTGAAGGTGGTTATGGTTCTGTATCCTTGTGGGTAGGGCTTACTGAGCATCCCCCCAGGCTTGTGCCTCTCATACACTGAGCATCTCTCACAATGAGGAAAGCCTGCACCCCTGTGGCACTTCTGCAACCACTGCCCTCTGTATTTCACAATGTGGGTACACAAAGGTCAGCAGCAAAGCCTGTGTCAAAGTAGTTTTATTTTTTTGCTTTCTTCTTCTTCAATGATTCCCCAAGTCCTGTACAACCGTTTGCCAGGTGAAGGTTAGAGAATGTCAATCACTTGCTTAGTTTCCAAGCTACAACGGAAGGAAAAACCCCCCCCAAAAAATAGAACAGGAAATGGGGGAAAGCTGGAACAAGAAAATGTTCACAAGAAAGGCAAAGAACTCAAAGGCTGAATGCATTCAAACAAACTGATGTGAGCACTGTACAGCCGTGGTTGTGCTGCCATTCAACGGGGCCAAACCCAAGCCCCAATTCCCCAACAGAAACCCCAAACTATCAAAGGTACTGGATTGCAGAGGCTGACTTTGTGCTTTGCAAGGTTTCCTGGGGGAATTAAAAGCCCTCACAGCTGAAAGCAACATCTCCAGATGGGCTGCACACAGCGTGTGTATGCTGAGGGCTATGGAACAGCATCACTTCCTTCTCATTGCATCTCTAAAAACAAAGCCTGGGCCCCAAGCACAGCACTGAGGCTATTAGGGTCGATTTGTAGCCACCCCTCCTCTGCAGCAGCAAGCCCTGCTCCAGCGCAGGGTGATGCTTTTAACCTGAATAAAGCCCAACCTGGGGCGAGAGGGTTTTGTGCAAGAGAAATTGTACACAGGGGACAGCAAGGAGGGCATGAAGTGTTCTGCCACGTCCCTGGCTGGGTAGGATCTGCTGTGACTGCTTCTATTTAAAAAAAAAATAAGAATAATGGGAAGTAAATCTTATGGTAATCTTCAAAATTAAAGTAGAAATGTGCATGCAGGGGCGTGTGTGCACATACATGGGTGCACTCTCGCTCTGCCAGCACTCAGCTCCTTAGATTAGAAGTAGCATATGGCATCATTTGGAGAGGGGAGGCTCATTATTTGGAGAGGGCAGCTGCGGGTGCCTCCCTCCATCTGGAATCATTCCTCCCTCCTCGCCCTAAGTAACTTAATTGATAACCCATCTCTATCTGCACCCACTGCTCCTGCCCCATTAGGACTGCACTGGGAGGAGCAAGAGGGTGCAGACAGGGATGGGATGTGCACAGCTGCAGCACAAAGCAGTGGCAGAAGGATGGGCAGCAGCAGCCCAGCTTTGCCAGGGGATGGTGATGGCTGTGTGTGTTTGCAGACCAGGGCCAGCAGCCCCCAGGTGCCGCATATCCCTACAGCACAGCAGCCTTGCAGCTCGAGACGCTTTGCAGCCTCCCATCTCAGCCCACCACCCACTGGTGGGTGACAGGCATTTTCTCTGTATAAAAGGATGCACAATATCAAAATCCTCTTTATAAAAGAAAAAAAAGAAATGCAACGCAGCACTAGAAAACCTCACGTCCCAGCTGCCATCAAGCCCCCCTCACTTCCCCCTCCATTATACTGAACTTCAACTCATCCCTGCCACTGCAGCAATACATTCAACTTTCTTTCCCCCTTCCCCCCCCCCCCACTTTTTTGTTTCTTTTTTTTTTCCCTTTAAATTTTAATTTTAAAACACTGTGGTGGATTATAAGAAGTCCTCCATGCAATGCCCGGCTCACACGTCGGTGCTGATGCTGCGACTGCGGGAGAAGGCTTCACGCATGGCTGAGAGCCGGTTGGGGTTGAGAGCCTGCAGGTTACCCACGCTCACCGGCAGGTCGAGCTCCTCCTGGCTGACGGTCTGGAAGCTGACCCGGTCCCCCCCGTTGTGCAGCTCCTCAGGGGGCTCCTGCAGGAAGAAGGTTGGAGGCTCATACTGCCCGCAGCCCGGGCAGCCGCTGCGACTCGGCGTTGCCTTCTTGCTGAAGGGTGAGGAGCTGTAGAGGGACGGCCCATTGGTCAGCACTACGTTGCGGTTGCAGTGGAGCGGAGGGATGTGGGAGTGCACGGCGAAGTCGGGCTCCTCCTCATCCTCCTCGGATTCATCCTTCTTGCAGCAGTAGTACTGGAACGGGATGGGGCTCAGCTGGGATCCCAACACTCTCGCACCACATGTGGGAGATGGGATTGGTTTACCCTATCCCATCTCCACCACATCGCCCTGCCTTACCTGGAGCCTACAGTAGCAGAGGACAGCGATGATACAAAGTAAAATGACAGTTGCTAATATTCCACCTGTGATGACCACAGTCCCGGCTGTCATTCGCCCTCTTCTCCATTAACAGCCTGCAACAGAGAGCACATGGGGTGACGGAGGATAAGAGAAGATGGGATTGGACTGGATGGGAAGGGTTGGAATGGGATGGGATGAGTTGGGAAGGGATACTTCACCCCCGTTTGCAGAGAGCTCCCACTGGGTCTGCCTGCATGCTGCAAGCAGAGGGGTTTGCCCCCTCTCCTGCAGGGGATCCGGCTGGATGCCAGTACTGTGAAAGCCAACAAGGGAGCTCCCAACCCCTCCCAATGGCACCTGACAGCTGGAGGAGGATGGAAAAAGCCCAGAAGAACTTTGCTAAGTGTTATTGCAGCCCGCAGGTGGGCTGAGTAATTGAGCTCCAGCAACTGCAGGTTGATGCAGGGAGTGAGCAGCAGCAGTGGGACACTATGGGAATTGTACAAATGGTCCTGCAACGAAAAACCCATCCTGGCCAACCAGTCTGGGCATCACCAAGCTACTCTGGATGCAGAATGGGGGTCTAGGGAAGTAAAACCTGCATGATGCCAGCATGGGGTTTGGCCATGAGCCTCACAGCCCCTTGGCACACCCCATGCTTTGTGTTGGGGATGGGGACTGGCTCATGGCACGTGCCTGGCTCCTGCTTGGAGCTTCACAGCAAGTGGGGGGTTGGAGCCATGCACATTTTTTCTCTGAGCTTATAATCCATTTTCCTCATGAAAACAATGTGGTATTTTAATTTGGAATAACTGGAGCTGCTAAGTGAGCCTTTAACGAGTGCAGGGCCAGGCACTCTTCTCCCCCACAAAGCAGCAGCATGGGATGAAGCCTCACAGTGCAGTGGGCTCCTTGCTTTGCTGTGGCCAAGATGAAATCAAGGGAGCATGATGGTACATGGCATGAGGCTTCTGAAACCTGCATTGCAGCCAGTGCTGTGGCCAGAGCACCACAGGGACATTGCAGTCCCTATGTCTGAGAGTAGCATCTCCCTCCCCCTAAAGCATCCACAGGGGTTTTAGCACAGACACAGCAAAAGTATGATGGCCCCCATGTCTTGAGCTGAGCAGATGCACAGTGCAAGATGAACACAAGCCCTGCAGTGCTTGCTCTGAGCATCCCTATCCCAAAAACTTGAAATTCCCACCATCCTCTGCAGAATAATGCCAAACTCTTTACCCAGGGGGGATAATGGGGACAGTCACAGCTGTAACACATCCCTCCTTACAGCAGCATCACTCCACAGCCCAAGAGCTGCAGGCATCAGTCTGGGATTGGGATAAATGACATAAATTGACAGAGAGAGCAAACTGTGACCACCTACCCGACAAGTGCTTTAACAAAGCTGGCCTCCTGCTCATGATATCAGGTTAAACCAAAAAACCAGCTTCCCCAAACCCAAATTACTTCAGCACCTGAGGAAAAGCAACTGTATCTGTCAGGGATTTAACTTGCTTCCAAAGAAAATAAATCTGTGGCATATTTTCAGGTGCTTAATGTCCTGCTAAAGTTGGGTAAGTACTGAATGGATAAAGCAGTATCACATTTTATGCTTCTGCTGAGCAGAGCTGTAGGAGCAGGGAATTTGTGCTGCTGTGTAATGGCAGAGAGCTTCTTGTACAGCCACAGGATAAGAGCCCTGCCAAATCCTGCCCTATTTCTGCCCCGAGACAAAAACCCTGTGGGAGTTCAGAGCAGGGAGACAACAAGCCTTCCAAAATTGCAGCAGTGATGTGGAAGCATCAGTGCTCCAGCCCTGGGACCTTTGCTGCTCCCATTTGCTCACCATGAATTAAAGGGTTGCACGTCCCAGGGGCAAGCAAGGGGGAGCACGCAGCAATTTTCTCTGCATTCCTCGCACCCAACCCCCAGTGCCCTGTGGTCAGCCATGCATGGCATGACAGCCACTGCCCCGCTCAGAGCAAAGCCATTTGCATCACAATATTTCTCCTCCCGTAACATACTTGTCTGCTTAAAACCATGTACCTGGAAGCATTAAACTCTCCAGCGTGCGAAGGAGGGAGGGGGGAAAAAAGCCCATAAGCAGAACAATTCCTGTCTAGACCTCCTTTTTACATTTGTTCCTAATTTCACGCTCTGCAGGCTCCCAGGTTCATATATTCAGTAATAAATATCTTGGTAAAAGGAAGTGCTTTGCAGCTCCGCTGTGGTCTTGGGGAAGGTATGCAGGAGCCTCACTATGAGGAACACAGGCACCAGCAGACGTGTCTACAGCCACTTGGCTCCTTCCATGTCCCTGGGGAAGGTGAGGAGCCCTCGAGCTATGGAGGATACCTGAGCCCCCCATTGAACCTCAGATACCTTCCTTCACAACTGCTCCAGGCTGAGGGTTTTGACACAGGCACAACCCTGTGCCACTTGCCTGGTTCTGCCAGGACATCTCAGGCTGAGTAATTCCAGCCTGCAGCAGATGGAGTTTGATGCAAGAGAAAATGGGCTTTTGTGTTCCTTGCAGCTTGGAGAAGGAAGAAGTAGAGCTCTCATTGGCTCCAACTCCTGACTGACGGCTTCTTCCCTTGCTCCAGATGTTGCAGTACCACAGACACAGTCGGATGCTGGACTCTGCTGCTACCTGCAGGAAGACAGCTAGGGACTGCTAGGGTGAGCATACTTAGATTTCTTTAAGAGACCCTCAAGTTCTGGTTAAACCAGACTGTGGGATTTGTAGCAGGAAAAACCTTCTGATCAGGACTTTCCATGAGCAGAGTCTACACTCATTGCACCCCATCCCATCACAAGTCACCCCAAAGTCTTTTGCACTACTTGGAAGTGCTGTGATGGTAAGCCTCCAAAACCGAACCTCAGATGGATACACTGGTTCCACTAAAGCTGTGCCCTCATAAAGACACTGCATCTCACCCACACAGGTAAGCCCATGGCCTGTTTTACTGCAGCAAGCTTTCTGCATCCCCTGCCAGCTTGAGACCTGCTCCTCTGCAGCACAACCAACCCACAGAGCAGCCATTTCCCAGCTCTTCCATGCACATCCAACCCTGATGCCAATCCTTCCAGTTACATCCCACTTTGGAAGAAAGGGAAATTGATCAGCAAGGGGAAAAAGGGGGAACATGCAGGACATCCCATTGTGCCCTGGAGCCTGGTACCCAGGTTTTGCCTGAGGGTGAACCCAAAAGGGGAAGCAGCAAACAGCTGCTAGCAGCTCAAATACGTTTGGTAGCCAATGCAGCCTGATTCCTGCATTTCTCCCAGTTCCTGTAATCCTACCCAGTCAATGAATGAGAGCTGGGCTGCTCAGAACAGCAGGGCAGTATGCCAGCGCAAGGCTTTGCACACAGGGAGCCAGTGGGCCAGACAGCTGCCAGCAATACGGGCAGAGAACGAGGCTCCCCAGCTACAAAGCCCCCGGAGCACAGGGCTGCACCACTCCTGCATGCTCAGGATAACGCAGGCATAAAGATTGCCTCTATCATAGCTCACAGTATGGTCCTCTGTGCCCCATTGCTCCTCTCTGCTCTGCCCCTTCCTAGTGTTAATGCTCCCAGAGCAATGCCAACACTAGGGCAATGGAGACAGTCAAACATCACACTCCTTCTGCCTGCTCTCATTATCACCCTGCACCATTTTATACCCCAAAGCACTTTGTTAAACATTACACAGCAGTCTCAAAACTGACAGAAAAGCCACTACGTTCCTGATGGGCAGTGGAAGACTTTTCCATACGCTGTGGGTTTGCATCCTCACAGGTGACATCGGAGCAGAACCCAGCACAGCATGCCCAAAACATCATACACATTACAGCCACTCCGAGTTTCGGGTTTTCCTACACCAGATACCACAGAAAAGTTTGCAACAACCAGGCAATCATGGGACAGTTCAGGATCCCCCCACCCTAATTAGTGTTATTAGGATTTAAACCAGAAACCAGCTCAGAGAGCCTTCTGAATGCTCACTTCTGAATGCCCACAAAGCAAATCAATTCAGGGGATGCCAGCCCCAGCACAGAGCAAGAGGAAACATGCACACAGCAATAATGAAGCAATAATGTTGTTTAATACAACTAAATCACACCTAATGTAAAAATAATATTTGCACAGCTCATCAAAGCATCACTGAGGCTTAGTGAGCACAACTCCAGGCATGGATGTCAGCAACTGCAGCTGCTAAAAGGAGAGCAGTGGTGCTGCTGGGGAGGGACAGAAGGAACACCACCTGGTGCCATTGCAGTGCCCTGGGATCTTTTCAAGGCGTAGCTAACTGCATATTAAAGAGGACAGGGAAGGAGTTGGCAGCTGCTCCAGCACACCTGGAATAAAGCAGGGTAAGCTACACTGGAAAGCTTTGCCCTCCTCAATCCCATCTGTCCCTGCCCAAACAACCCCGCTCTGCGTAAGCACCAGGAATCATTTCCATACATCCGCTGTCATCCAGAAGACTCCTAAGCTGTCTGAACTCCTTCAGAAAGGAAAAAACAAAAAGCAAGACAGGCTGTCTTTCCACCCTGCATCATTTAATCTCCTCTTGAACTGCGGCTTAGTCCGCCTGAGATATTAGCATCAGAGAGTAGGTTTTGGTATTAGCAGCTTGAGATAAGCTGCAGTCAGTGCTAAGGGGGAAAATAAGAGAGAGGGTGGGGAGAGCCCCCAGCAAAGAGCTGCTCCTGGCCATCCATCTCTGCCTCGATTTCCACTTCTTTCTGTTCCAGTGGGGACTGCTCCATCTCCATCGCAACCCAGCACAGAGCAGCTGAAAGGTTACAAAGACCCAACGAGCAGAAAACTGAGCAATGAAGTTGGAAAAAGGGGGATTTGTCCTTCTGCAAATGCTGTCCTGAGAGCGTGATGCTGCTGGCAGAGGACAGCACCTGGCTGGGAGCAGAAGCTGTCTTCAGCAGTTCTCACCAAGTGACTGATGCTGACGCAGAGGACAAGGGCAAAGCTCTGAGGAATTGTGACACTGCAGCCAGGATGGCCCAGGCAGTGGGAAGACTGTCACACAGCAGCACATCACCAGGTCACAGTGATTCCTTGAGCTGTGGTGAGATCTGTGCT